CAGTGATTATTATCAAAGCAGAATCGTTTGTGAACCAACAGATTTTAAAAACATTTAAACTTATTTTAGACTAAAATGTACTACATCTGATCTACATTTCTTCTACTGAAGAAAGTCAAAACAGGGAAATCTACTAGATGGATAACTTTCAATGGCTTGGTATTTCAGGTTGGAATTGTACAATATGGAGAAACTGTAACCCATGAGTTCAACCTCAATAAGTATTCATCAACAGAAGAAGTTCTTGTTGCAGCAAATCAAATACTCCAGAGACGTGGTCGTCAGACTATGACAGCCCTTGGAATAGACACAGCAAGGTATATGGATGAAAAATTCAATCCAAGTAAAAGTCTACAAAACCAGCTGCTCATGATCTAGGCCTTTGTTATGTTAATTGAAAATTACTTTTGTGACATTTTAAATCCATCTTTCTAAAAAACAAATTCAGCTGATCCATTAACAGGAACCAGACCAGGTTTTTCTATAATACTCTCTCACTATCCTTCTCATCTTCGCCTGTTATCCTGAAGGTTTAATTGATGGAGATCTAGTTGAAAAATTACTGGAGCTCTGGTAGCATAGTGCCTAAAGCACTTGACTGCTAACCAGAAGGCTGGCAGTTCAAACCCACAAGTCACTCCTCGAAAGGAAGGTTGGGCAATCTACTTCCATAATGATACTGCCTCAGATACCCAAGGAGGGGTTGCTATGAGTTGGGTCCGACTCGATGGCACATAAGAACAACAATAACATTGCATCACATTCTTGAGTACTAAAACTTAATATTGTTGTTGTTGTTGTTATGTGCCGTCGAGTTGGACCCTCCTTGGGTTTCTGAGGCATTTTCACTATGGAAGTAGATTGCTCCATCTTCCTCCCGAGTAGTGGCTGGTGGGTTTGAACTGCCAGCCTTCTGGTTAGCAGTCAAGTGCCTTAGGCACTAAGCTACCAGAGCTCCTAAACTTAGTATTAGTCAATATCTTTTTTCCTTTCTTCTTTGTTTTTAGGTTCTAGGAGTGCCAGTATTAAAAACAAATAAATAAAAGAATAAAAATTAGTCCACTTCTGTTCAATATATATTTCTATCCTAATATAACTATATATTTCCCAGTACTCCATTTGAGGTTATAGAAGATGTCAAATAAAAGTATCTAAAAGGCCAAATTAAATATTGTCTTATTTGAACTGCTTTTCAGTGCAAACATTGAAAGAATTAGAACATTTGTAATGTTCTCTCTTTCTTCATCTTTACTTTCTCTAAATTCCCTCCTATTGGCATCCCTTCTACAATTTCCTTCATGGAAAGCACCACTCTGTGGTTGGATTATGTTTTATGAGAATCTAAAGAACTGTCCTTCTCTTACAATATAGACCATTTCATTTTCTGCACTTTCTCCTATCTCATTTTCAGCTCTTATTTACTCCTGTCTCTCCCTAAGCCACCATTAAAACTTTTAGACTCATGAATGAAAATTAAGCAATACCCAAAAACTACAGGGACTCTAACAAATAGTTTGAGCAATATTAAGAATTCTTCTGTTAAGTGTCTTCAATTTCTGTACTCTCATCTGGTTTGAAGAGCTTATTATCCATGTTCTCACTTCTCCCACCTGTTAATGTCAGTGTTTAATAAATAGTTAATATGTGTACACCACAGATGAGGTCAGATACTCAAAAATTTAAAAATTCATGTGCAGCTTTAGACTCATAAATGTTAGAAAGCATGTGGTTTTAGTCATATGGGGCCCAAGAGAAATAACCACAAACAGATGGAGTAATTTCACATTCACTTGCATGAAGGACCAAAGATTTGCATGCACACCCTACATGTGTCTAGGTGTACTGAATACATCCTCTGAAATAATTTTCTAAATGTGACTGTGTATTAAAAATAAATCAGAGTGTTCTTTGAAAGCTCTAAGCCTGTAGGGAGCTGTACCATTTCCAAACGCAACCACTTAAGAATGAATATTCATCTTTGAAAACTAACTGAAGAAGTATGCTGGCTGATTTAGCTCATGCATAAATAGCATTCTGAATACCATGCCCCTCTATGGTTCTTGTCTATGTGTTTCATAAAGGGTCTAGCTGTAAGGCACTGAGATTACTGAGTTTTGAATATAAATAAAAATCCCATAATGCTGTTAATAATTGTTTTTCTTATACATTAATTTTTTGTTTTTAATTTCTTCAGTATTCCTTTCAAGCTGGGCCAGTTGCAAACCATACTTTTAATTTCTTAGAGCCATTTACCTCCATTTTCAGTGTATCTTATTTAGCAAACACTTTTGTGTCCCTTTTTCCCTTTCTCGTATTTTCTTTCCTTTCAGTAGACTTACATGTTTAATCATAAGGCCTGGTTTCTCCCTGTCCTAGAAAAAGAGATCTTCCTAGGATAATTGAATTTTAAAAAGCTTGGGGAGAGGTCAATGCTTAGTTCTAAGAAAGGACCTCAGATGGTGATGTGTTTTGGAAACAAGGGCAACTTGCTGTGGAGAATATTTGAAACAAAAGGGTGTTCTAAAGAGTTCAGTCAATGACTGCTCTTACGTTACATAAAGCTGGCTCCGGTGCCAGCTACCAGATTTTATACAAGAAAGGTCTTTTAATCATTTCCTTCTGTTGATGTTCATTCAGTCATAGCCTTGATCTTCAAGAGAATGAGGAGTTTTGATGATCTGAGCAATTAGAATTGCAAATAGGGTCAACTCTCATATGATATCCATTTCCATTCTTAGTCATTAAGACTAGCCTTTAACAGAAAATCTGTGTGGTATAGAGGGTAGAGATACACAGTCCCTCCGTGATCAATTTTTCAAAAGTATTTTTCTTTCATTTTGGAAAATTTAAGAAAAATAGGAACATGTAATAAAGAGTAGTACAACAGAATCCTGTGTACTCACCATACAGAGTGGACAATTGTCAAATTTGCTTCAAGTACTCTGAAAGGAAATGACAATCGCAGATATAATGCCCTTTGTCCACTAGCATCACTAGAGTCCTTTCAACCTGCTCATAAGATGCCTGCTATTATGCATTGCTGGGTATCTACCATATAACTAATGCATATTGTGCAGTGTTTGGAATGTTAGTTTGAGAAGTATTTCTTTGTCATATCCCAAACTACCATTCTTTGTCTTCATGACCAAAGTAGAATATTGAAAGGAATAATTTAGTACATGAATTGCTTCAGTTTCATCAAAATTTAAAATATCATATGATTATTTCAGTCCAAAGTAAGATGCACACTTTCTTGTCCAAGACTCAAGAAAGAAAGTGAGTGGAAGTTGAGTAAAAAGAATAAGAGAGGAGAAAAAGCATGTATGCATGTAAAGAACACATGAAATAAATTTTAAAATTGTTCATTTCCCCTTTCCTCCATTTGTTTCCATACCTTCTTATTGAATTAAATTAAAACTTACTTATTTACAGTTATAGCATTTTCCCTTTCTATGCCACCCCTCCTTAAGCCTGTGTCCTGATATCAAATTTAAACCAAATCTTTCATAGCTGCCCCAGCTCATCCTTGATCCCCATAACTCTGCTGACTGCCAGGTCACTGACTCAAACCATTGCTATCTGTAGCTTTTTATTTCTCTGTCTGATTATTTTTCCCATACTGAGAATGCAACACTCACAACCACACAAATGTTCTGTTCTCTCTCATCTCCTTTCATGAGTTCAAAAGGATTTCCACATTCTTCTGTGAATGTCATAGTAGGTGTGGAAGGAAGTGAGGACTAAAGCAAAAGCTTCTGTGAAGAAGAGGCCTGTCAAGCAAGGAGTGTTTACAGAGAAAAGGGTGATTGGGAGAGTACTTAGAGAACTAACAATCTCTAAATCTGATGAATGCACCAGTCACACCCTTTCTTTGAAATTTCCAAACAGTAAATACTTCTGCCTTATTTGTATAAGAAATACATGGTGATTAGCAGAATGGTGACTTCTCCATCATCTGGGATAAATCTACAACTATTACAAGTCATGATTGTCATGGCTTCGAGCTTCAACAGTGGGTGTTGATGTTGATCTTGGCGGGAAAGCACTGGGCTGCCTACAGTCGTCAGTGTTTTGATTTTATTTATTGCTTTGCCTAGTCTTGGAGCAATGTTTTATTTGCCTATCTTCTATCTGTGATTATTTCAGGAAGGAGGCTTTCACTGAAGCCCGGGGTGCACGAAGGGGGGTTAAAAAAGTCATGGTTATTGTGACTGACGGAGAGTCCCATGACAACCACCGCCTGAATAAAGTCATCCAAGACTGTGAAGATGAAAACATTCAGCGGTTTTCTATAGCTGTAAGTAAATTGCTAGTTGTGATTTTCAAATTCAAGAGTGCAGAGAAGAGCTGTGTACATATCATGGTAATTTAATGAAAGTTGCATAAATAAGGTTGAAGGAGAAAATTCTCTATTTGTTAAATAAGCTTTGTGAGGGCAGGACTGGGGCAAAACAGGAATGAAAAGAAGGAAAGAAGAAAGGGAAGAGAGAAGAAGAAGAAAGGGAGGGAGGATAGAAGGGAAGAAGAAAGGAAAGGAGGGAGGAAATCTAAAAGACATATTAGGTTATAAACACACTGGCTGCTAAATAACACTTCTTGAAATTCCCCTAAAACTACATATTAACTTGGCCAGGCTGGGATTCTCAATGGTTTGGCAGTTATGTAATAATGTAATTTGGCAGTTATGCAATGATGTAATCATCTCTAATGATGCGGTCTGATGTGATCAGCCAATCAATTTAAGAGGATTAGGGTGGGATGCCACACTCTTTCTCAGGTCATAGCCCTGATCTGATGTAAGGGAAGTTTCCTTGACATATAGCCTGCATCACCTTTTATCTTACAAGAGATAAAAGGAGAGAGAAGGGAGCAGAGAAGGAGAGACCTGGCTACCACAAAGGAAAAACTGGGAGCAGAGTACATCCTTTGGACCCAGGGTCCCTGAGCTGAGAAACCCCTAGACCCAGGGCAAGATTGATGCCAAAACATATGGAGATAGCCAAGGACACCAGGCCCACAGACATTGAAAGGAAGCAAGGGCATTCCTCCAGAGCCAATAGAGAAAGCTTTCCTCTAGAGCTGGTACCCTGAATGCAGACTTCTAACTTCCTAAAATGTGAGATAATGAATTTATGTTTGTTAAAGCCATCCACTTTGGTATTTCTGTTACAGCAGCTTTAGATAACTAAGACAGAATCCAAGAGTAGGATGCTGTTCTAATAGATCTAAAGTGGTTTTGGAGTTGGGTAATGGGTAGATGCTAGAAAAGTTTTAAGGGGCCTGATAGTAAAAGCCTAGATTGCCTTGAAGAGACTGTTGGTGGAATTATAGACATCAATGGCGATCCTGGTAAGGGCTCAGAATGAGAACTCTAACAGCAGAAATAGCATAGACAACCAGAAGTACTGGCAGAGAAAAGGCAGCAGCAGAACGAGGAGACAGTCATGATACAGCAGAGCATGACCCGTGGAGCAAGAGAGCTGAGTGCCTTCTGGAAGGAAGCATTCTGGTGGAGTGGGGTGGCCCTGGGCACTTATTAAAGAAGGTAGCCTTGCGACCTACAGAGCAGCAGATAGGAGTGCCTTCAGGCCAAGGCTTACTGGCAGAGTAGTGGCTCCAGGCACTTATTGATACAACTTAAGAGCTTTATAACACTGGCCTAAGCAGGGCAGAGACCAGGCCAGCTCAATAGGCCCAAGGGGTGGAGAGGCCAAGGAACCAAGAAGCAGAAGCTGAAAAGACAAGGAGAATGGGAAGCAGGGATGCTTCTGTTTCAAAAGATAGGACCACAAGCTCTGCAGTCTCAAAAGATGGGGCCATGACATCTGGAGTTTCAAAGGGTAGGGCCACAACTTCCTAGGCTTCAAAGCATCAGATCTTCACCAACTCAGTTCTGGAATGTGTGTGTTGCTGTTCATGAACTCCAGAAGTTTGGCACTGCATCTGTTGTCCAAAGCTGAGGGGGCAGGCCTGCCATGCCAAAGGGGCAGAAGAATGGGACATGCCAGCACCAAGAGGATGGGGTCACTACTCTATTGAACTAGGAAAATGGGCCAACCCAACTCAGAAAGAGAAGAAATGCTATCCTGGTGGGCCTGGAAGACCAAAGAGCCTTCCACCCAGAATATGGAGGGCATATTCTGCTGTTGCCTAGAGGGTATCAGAGAAATGATGATTTTCAAGCCTTGAGAGTTCGTGTAAATTGTTCTGTTGAATTTTGTACTTGCTTGGTCCTGATTATCCCTTCTTTCCCTCCAATTGTTCCTATTTATAATGGAAATGTTTGTCTGTTACCAGTTCCATATTGTACCATGGGGGCAAATAACTTGTATTGTAGATTCACAAATGAAGAATAATATTTCCCCAGGATAGAATTTGGACTGGAAGTTTATTTAAGACTCTTGGGATGGCCTTTCCTTTGCCACTGCTTCTTGTTGTCTATGTTGTTTCTGGTGTTACAGTTCTCCTTCTGAGCCCTTAGCAGACTATGCAAAGGCATTTGACTGTGTGGATCATAACAAATTATGAATAGCATTGAGAAAGATGGAAATTTCAGAACACTTAATTGTGCTCCTGAGGAATCTGTACATAGACCACGAGGCTGTTGTTCAAACAGAATGAGGGGACACTGCATGGTTTAAAATCAGGAAGGGAGTGGATCAGGGTTTTATCCTTTCTCCATACTTACTCAATCTGTATGCTGAGCAAATAATCTGAGAAACTGGATTATATGAAGAAGAACGTGGCATCAGGATTAAATGAAGAGTCATTAACAACCTGAAATATGCAGATGACACGACCATGCTTGCTTAAAGTGAAAATGACTTGAAGCATTTGCTGATGAAGATCAAAGTATGCAGTCTGCAATATGGATTACATCTCAATATAAAGAAAACAAAAATACTCATAATTGGACCAATCAGCAACATCACAATAAATGGAGAGAAGATTGAATTTGTCAAAGATTTTATATTACTTGTTTTCATAATCAACACTAATGGAGCAGCAGTCAAGAAATCAGATGATGAGGAAGAGAAAGACATAGAGAGGTACATGGGAGGTACAGACAACAAAGATGAACCCTTTTGCACATACAGTACTGCATTGTCAGTGAAGGCAAACATGGGTATACATGTTTAGATGGGTAGACAGGCTGAACTATTAGGTATGTCTATGAAGTGGGGAGTGTATCCAAGAATGTGTATAGGATTGGCAGACAATAGTCCTATAAGTTTATGTGAATGATCAGAATTCCCAGGTGTAGTAGCGTAGTGCCTAAGGCAGTGGACTGCTACCCAGAGGGCTGGTGGTTCAAACCCACCAGTAACTCCTCGGAAGGAAGATGGGGCAATCTACTTCTGTAGTGATACTGCCTCGGAAACCCAAGGAGGGGTCGCTATGAGTCGGGTCCGACTCCATGGCACATAACAACAACAACAACATAGTAGAGTTGACAAGAGGCAAGGTTGTGGTCACTGCTTGGTCACAGCCAGCTACCCAGATGGACCGGGTAGTTGAACCTGTGGGCTTAGGACCATAGTCACAGGGGACATCAAGCTCAATTGGCATAACATACTATACAAAACATTGTTCCACCTCCTACTTTGGTGAGTTGCGACTAGGATCTTCAAAGCTAGCAAGCTGCCATCTAGATGCAACGATGGGTCTCTCCTCGTTCAGAGCAAAGAAAAATAAAGAAAACCAAAATTCATGGAAATAATTAGTCCTAGCGACTAGTACACCATCCAATCTGCAGCCTATATAACTATGAGACCAGAAGAACTAGATGATGCCCGGCTAGCACTGTCATCCACTTGGAAGGGGATCTATGTAGGAGATCCTTGATAGAGAGGAAGAACAGTGTGAAACGAAGCTCAAAATCATTTGGAGGGGAAAATAAAAGTGGGGGGACCATGTTTGCTGGTCCGATAGAGCCTGGAAACCACTGAGACTATGGCCTCTAGCTGCCCTTAGATCTGGAATTGAACACACACCTGTGCTTTCCAGCCAAACAAAAGACGGGCATATGATTTGAACATTTACCTCAGATAGATACACTCCTTGGAGAGAACAATCATGGGAGAAAGAAGGGCTGCTTATGCACAAGGAGACAGCTCAAGGGGCAGGAGTGTATGGAGGGATGGACACTGGGAAGAGGTAACTATGGGAGGAAGTGGGAGGGGAGCTGTTGCATTGTGGTAAATTGTGGTCAATGTCATGAAACAAAGTGAATGTGAACTGCTGTATGGAAAGTGAATTTTCTCTGTAAATCTTCACCCAGATCACACACACACACAAAAAAAAATCAGATGATGTATTGCACTGGGCAAATCTGCTGCAAATGACCTCCTTAAAGTGCTGAAGAGAAAAGATTTCTCTTTGGAAAGTAAAATGTGCCTAACCCAAGCCATGGTGTTTTCAATTGCCTCATGTGCATGTGAAAGCTGTGCAATGAATAAGGAAGACTGAAGAAGAGTTGATGCTTTTGAGTTGTGGTGTTGGCGAAGAATGCTGAAAGTACCATGGAATGCCAGAAGAACTAACAAATCTGCCCTGGAAGAAGTGCAGCCATAATGCACCTTTGAAGTGAGAATGGCCAGATTTCATCTCATCCACTTTGGCCTCCTCAACTGTAAGAGAATAAATTTATGTTTGTTAAAGCCATCAGAAAGGACTGTTCCCTGGAGAAGGATATCATGCTTGGTAAAGTGGAAGGTCTACAAAAAAGGGGAAGCCCCTCAATGAGTTGGCTTGATACAGTTGCTACAACAATGAGCTCAGGTATAGCAAGTATTGTGAGGCTGGTGCAGGACCAGGCAGTGTTTTGTTATGTTGTGTGTAGTGTCACTATGAGTTGGAGCTGACTCAACAGCACCTAACAACAATTTGGGATGATATGATGGGGTGAAAGTCTTTTGTATATGACAAAGACATGGATCTTAGGGGGCCAAAGAGTGGCATGTCATGGATTGAATTAAGTTGCCCCAAAATATTTGTCAATTTGGGCCATGATTCTCAGTGGTTTGGCAGTTATGTAAAGATGTAATCATCCTCCATAATGTGATGTGATCTGATATAATCAACCAATCATTTGTGGGTAAGTGTGCGAGGATTAGTGTGCGTTGCAGTCCCCTTACTCAGATTATAGTCCTGATCCATTGTAAGAGAGGAATTTCCCTGGCATGTGACCTGCATCACCTTTTATCTTACAAAAGATAAAAAAGAAGGGACCTGAATACCACCCTGGTCTAACGAAAACATCAGGGAGCAGAGCATTTTCTTTGAATCTAGGGTCCC